AATTCCTTTCACAATAGCATCCAAAAAAATGAAATATCTAGGAATCAGCCTAACAAAAGAAACCAAAGACTCTTCTTTGAAACCCATAGCACTCTGAAAAGAGAGATTGAAGATGATGTCAGAAAATGGAAAGACATCCCTTGCTCCTGGGTAGGAAGAATCAACATAGTGAAAATGGCCATACTTGCAAAACTGATATATAGATTCAATGCAATCCCAATCGAAATCCCAGCAGCATACTTCATGGACCTTGACAAAACAATCCAAAAATTCATTTGGAACAAGAAGAGACCCAGAATAGCAAAAGAAATTCTAGGTAACAGAGGCATGACAGGGGCTATTACAACCCCCAACTTGAAACTATATTACAAAGCTACTGGGAAAAAACAGCATGGTACTGGCAAAGAAACAGACTTGAGGACCAGTGGAACAGATTAGAAGATGTAGAAAGAACTCCAGACACACACACTCAGCCACCTCATCTTTGACAAAGGAGCCAAACACCCTCACTGGAGAAAAGATAGCCTCTTTAATAAATGGTGCTGGAGAAATTGGGTTTCAACTTGCCAAAGACTAAAACTAGACCTATATCTCTCACCATGCACTAAACTAAAATTGAAATGGTTGAAAGATCTGAATATTAAAACAGAAACGCTGAACCAGCTGGAACAGAGGTGAGGTAGAACTCTTGAAGACATTGGTGTAGGAAAAGATTTTATGATTTCAGTTACCTGTGAACTAGCACAAACAATCAACAAGTGGGATCTCTTCTTATTCAAAAGCTTCTGCACAGCAAGAGAAACCACCAGCAGTGTGAAGAAACAACCCACAATGTGGGAAAAAATTTTCACCAGGGGTCCCTCAGACAAAGGTCTACTATCTCGAATCTATAAAGAACTTAAAAAAATCAGACCTCCCAAATTTGAAGACCCAATCCAAAAATGGACATCTGAAATGAACAGACATTTCTCACACAAAGAAGTAGAAATGGCAAATAAGCATATGAAAAAATGTTCAACATCACTGGTCATTGGAGAGATGCAGATGAAAACAATGCTGAGATTCCACCTCACCCCAGAAAGAATGGCTGCTAGCATGAAATCAAACAGTAGCAAATGCTGGCAGGCTGTGGGGAAAGAGGAACACTGCTCCACTGCTGTTGGGAATGTAGACTGGTGAAACCACTGTGGAAATCAGTATGGAGATGCCTCAAAGAACTAGGACTAGAAGTCCCATTTGACCCAGCTATTCCCCTGCTGGGTATCTTCCCCAAAGAATTAAAAGAATCATACCA